TAAATATTGGATACCATGTTATGTACCCATTTTCCACGTAAAGTACATTGCCCGCAAGATTGAAAAATGTGTCTATATTACTCATTCCTGCAACAGGATGTTCGTTGTACTTTGTATTTTGTATTAAAAAATAAAAAGCATCGTCGAGAAGTTGGGCTAAAGTGACGTCAGATACTCCATACATATCCCAATTCTGTGGCTCTCTATTTTTCAGAAAAAAACCAAGCATTTCCCAAAATTTATAATCATAGTTAACGCGATATCCTACAACAAACAAATGTTTAGAAAAATAATACCAAAAACATGACAAAGAAACAAAATCAGAGAAAGAGAAAGAAACAAAGAAAAAAAGCGAAAAAAAAAGAAAAGAATAAAAGAAAAAACATTATATTATAAAGAGTAAATGTAATATAGTGGTACAAGGTTGGAATATAGAATAACAAATACATAGGAAACTACGATCATAACTTGTTTGTATTACCATTTTGCTCTGTGATCACGATAAAATCATCTTCTTCAATATTCCAAACAAAGATATCTTTTCTTTCTTGGTCTAGGTGCGAGTAATGGTGTGTAATAGACTTATTTTTTGATATTTTTACATAGGTTACAGGTATACACTTGTGTTCGCACAATTCGTTTGGATTCATTGCGATACAGTCTATAACTTGTATTGTGAGAGACTGTGTGTTATTGTCTCGTGTTACTTGTACCACAGGATAACCATGTTGTGTTATCCAAGACGTTATCACATTTTTTATATTTATATTTTCTAAATGAGAATTGTTATATACTTCCGACACAACAGATACATTTTTCCATAAAATATCGCTAATAGACTGTTCATTAAATGTATCATTCGATGTATTCGTACTAATAACAACAAAGATCATAACACAAACATATTGAATGTTTTTTTTACTTTAAAAAACAAATATATAATATTTTTTTTACGTTATCTTTAATGCAATTTACAGTTTACTATACATTTTTCAAGTATTTTAATAGTTATTACTTACGTGGTAGAATATAATTTTATGGCTTCTTCAAAAATAGAGTTGTATAACACATTTTTCTTATAGAAGAATCTATTGATCATAAAGAATACACTGAATGCTACAACATAATTTCGATTATTTGAAAGGTATTAAAAAATTATCACAAGAATATGTATATTATATGTATATGCATTTTCATGTTTTTTAATAATTGCGAACATTATTTTGCATTTTCTAATTTTTTTTGTATTCTTTTTCTTCATAAGTTTGGTACAAATAGAATGAGAGTTTATATTGTTATGTAGTATTGTAATTAAAACCCTAAGCAAGTGAAAGTTTTAAATTCTGAGTTTTCTTACATTTTTCTTTCCACATGGTACTATAAGTTACGTTTTGAACAAATAGATTTTCTTGTATAGATACATCAGATTCAATATATGCTTGTGTATATTCAAAACCTACTCGTCGTGTCTGGATCGCAATCGATTTCAGTAAAGTTTCATTGTAAAGCTATTAATACAATTTGTATAAATACACATATATCTACTTTAGTTTTAGTATTTAGTTTAAGGTGAAAAACTATACTGTTAATCTATCAAATTGGTAGTAATTTCAAAAAATAGAAAATGTGTTAATATATGCAAATTATTAGTAGTAATATCACTTGAAAATTTCTGTAAATATATTACAAAGTCCAGTTAAATATAGAATGTGATACTAAAATCTTTTAACATAGTTTTTAAGATGACTACATAATTTTTTTTTTCTTTCATATCGTTTCGCATATATATGGAGTATTATACATACATATATATGTATATATTTAGTATTGAAGTGTGTAGAATGCATGTTTACATCTTTTAATAAAAATACAAGAAATATACACTTTTTAGATAGTACTGTTACAGTATTATACATATATATAATAGTAAAATGTTTTATTATATTATAATACTTTAGTGTCATCTATCAACAAAATTTTATTAAATGCAAGACTTACTTGATCGACTAAATAAACTCCGTAAAATGTCAAAAACTCTTCAAGGAACCAAGAATCAGATTGTTTCAATGTAACTAACCATTCGCTGAACATTTCTTGTAGCACACCGCGTACAATCAAGCATGTAACTGTTGCTTGTTTTATAATTGAATCTACTTCTCTATTGTATGCAATATTAGCGTCTCTAAAAATAATATTGTTCTTTTTTTGTCGTTTTTATCATATGTATAATTGTTTTAAGCTAATTTTACCTGAAGAGTACAAGTCCAGTAGTTACTATGGTTTTGTAATTGGTGGAGTTTATTGGAAGTACTACATACTGCACGTATGAAGCTAATGTGGTATTTTTTATCTTGTGTTTTTTCATAAATGACAAAAAATCTTTTATAAGAGATACTGCGTATAAACTTTCGTTGTTTACTTGCACTCTGTAGTGAATAGTAAGACGTGTATGAAGAGAAGTATATTGATAATCGATATACTCTGTTGGTACGACTGCTGTTGCTATTAAATGAGTAGATATTATAGGTGTAGTACGAAATACTGTATAGAAGTGATCTTCTTCAATTTCTTTATCACCAACCATATGTGATAAAATTATTTCATTGTAGGTATGGTTAAATTGAATAGTAAATGCAGCCTTGATGGCAGGATTTTTCCAATGAGGAAATATCCATTCAGCGGGAATACGCGATAAAATCAAATATCTATATAATGAAAAAATTAAATTGCAAATAAATATTAATCAAATAAAACTTTGTACATATTATTTTTACACAACAAAAACAAAAATAGTTACAGCATTTAGTGTTTTATTTACTAACTTTTCTTCTTTAGTTTGATGTACATATGGAAAGATTGTTGCAACTTTCTTTAAAATACAAGTATATCTCGCAGTTATCCAATATATTCCAGGTTGTATATCTCTTTTTCGTTGTTTTATTTTAAAATCGTCTATATATTGGTCCTTGAGAACAATGTCAATAAATCCTTCTTTCGTAGAAAATGGCTCGTATAACCAGTGCGAATAATTATGCCGAGGAATGTTAGTAGTGATGTTAAAATCGTATATAACATTACAATATTGTTTGACATACAGTCGTATTTTCTGGTCTGTACATGAAATGTTGAGTTTGACACGAGTATTGACGTTGAGTGAATTATTCTGTATTTCCGCTGAAATATTCATAATATATGCAATCGGTTGTATACATTGTTGGTCTTGAGATAACTTTTCATCAGTTGAAAAAGGACATTTAGGTAGAAATATTAAGCACACAGTTCTAAAGAATGTAAACATCTGCATACTGTAAATCTAGAAAAGTATTTTGTTTGTTAAACAAGAATTGCATATGCAAAGAAAGACGCAACATATAAATTATAAATGTACACATCAATTGTTAATTTTCTTTCACATATATTTATCAAAGACAGATGTGTATAACCGTTATAGGATATGTTTATCACTTGGTTTCTTTATGTTTATCACGTAAGTATATAAATACACTCGCATAATAGTTGTCATGATTGCGTTAATTTGACATATAGAAGGACGATTGGAGAAAGAAAAACACAAAGTGTGCTAAACAATTTTAACAAATTATTATGTGTGCGAACAAAGTTATACTTGAAAAGTTTGTCTACAAATTTTGAGCGCGTTTTAATTATTTAGTATGTCACACATTGCAAATTATTTCACTGTAAATACAATATTTTTAGATTGCAATAATAGTTATATAATAGTCATGTATGGTTTATTTACAAGTATTAAAATTTATACACTAAGTGATAAATTAACGCAGATATAAATTTTTTTACTAGAAAGAAAACTAACGAATTTTATAGAATTTTAGCGTGTGGTGAAATCTACAAGATATATTTTACAACAATAATAATGAATATTTAACACATAATATACAAAATTTTTATACCTTACTATGTTTGAGATAATATCTCTAACTCTTAAAATATCAGTCTTACTTTTTACTTTATACGTATTATCACTATATAAGTTCTAAAACAAATTGCCTAAGAATATCTGCGATCGTGCGTTTTGGAGAGATGATCGATAACTACAAGACAGTCTTTTCCGTTAAATAATAAATATATATCACGATATAAACACCTGTATTGGGAAAACGACCTTTCTTTGTAGGTTGTGTTCCAAGTATATACATATATATAGACATATGAATTTCGAAATATATATTCTCACTGTTTACTACACATTTATATGTTTTGACATGTTTTATCTAGAATGAAACTACAATTGAAATAATATAAAAATCAAAAACGAGGTTAAGTTTATTATTTTTAAATGTGGCAACGATGCACTCGCGAAACTGTAAAAGATTTATTGCGAAGAAATTACTTTTACATGGAAGAAACTTAATAACACTTTTACAACTTTTAAAAATTAATTAAACAACATAGTTCCTTTGATTTAGTATGTTAATATTTTTTTTGTTAGACGCAAAGACATATGCAATGACTTAATGTAGCGTCGCGCTCGACGCGATCGTAGAGTTTTTGTACAGAATTTCGGCCAGAAGTGTGTTCTACGATTTTGTCGATTCGGATCCTCGCACTTTTCTTTAAAATACAGAGAAAAAATGTTAG